AATCTAGGCAAACCTTCCATCTGCCCAACTTTGAGCCTCCCATCTTTTAACACTTTGCAGATGTAGGCATCCTCTCACAAGGGACCAGTAAATGTAGGGGTTTGGTGCTTTTACTGGGACAATTATTAATTGTAGCAGTAAGTCACAAAATGATTCTTTGATGGCTGTTAGAATCAACCTTGCGGGATTACTAAAACAACGCACACACACGGATACTCATACACGCGAATGCATTTATTGATACATAAAATGTGCATATAAACATAACAGATCTTATAGTGAGGGTTAGCAGAGTACAAAAGGTATATACTCAATCACGAAGAGTTACAAACCAAGAGGGACATACATTCAGTATATCATTCATTTATACTGTTTCGTAAATGAACCTGGATTACAACTTCTACACTAGATACTCAAAAGCAAGTACATCACTCATAGTAATTAAATTGATATCAACTGGGGTTGAGGTAACAATTGAATTCTCAAGATGTAATGCAATCTGTGTGGATTCAGATATCCCGCGGACAAAGAAGCAGTGGCAGGCTTGTTGCTGTGTCCAATCGGCGCTCTCTGGCTTGGTGCCAGGCAGTGCTCGGTTCGGATTGTGACGTGGTGGGAGAGGTTTCTGCTGCGATGTCCGGCTTGTTAGTTCTGGCTTACTAGCAGAGTTATAAAAAGAGACTGCGGGTCCAAGCAGGTCACACTCTTTAGACAGGAAGAAGACCGGTTCGTTCCTGATGAAGCACTAGTCCTGAATACTGGTATTCAGCTGTCCACAGTTCCAACGGTAGTTCACTTGTTGATCAGGTGAGCGTTCGGGGTGGGTTCATGAGAGCTAACCTCAGGTGGATCCTTTGGTTACGCGCTGGCGACCTCCGTTCTCAACTCTTAGAACAAAGGAAAGTCCTGCACTTGGACACACTGGCCGTTACGTGATTGTCCGAGCTGAGTCCGACATGGATGTCCAGGAGGGGCTCTGAGTCTGAGAATGTCCAAGAGGCGCACGGAGGGACTGTGCTGCCTGTTTTACCTGGAGGAACTACGGTCGTTCATTGGTTGAAAGTTTCGTGGGCATCCAAGACCCACATGGGGTTACCCTGCCCTACCAGTTCCTGATTGGCTGATCTAGGTGGAGGATGAGTAACCATGCACTCTGACCTTAGAGTTGTAAACAACTTAGGACGATACCCTCACTTGGAGTCTCAGACTGTAAGGCGCCAGAGATTACCATTTATTAGGGTTGCTGGAGAATCTCAGTATTGGGAGTTGTTCCTTATCAGGACACTCTATCAGCTAGAAAAACACCTTAAATGTGAACCAAATGGAATGGCCTCTCTGTATCTTGCACCACTGAGATGAAGGAGAGAGGGACTGGCAAGGGAGCAGCAAACTTAATTCCTGTACTTGCCTTGCCACTACACAGTCTATACAACCCTAACCTGGAGATTCAGCCTCCTCCCTCACTGACAGCACTGCAGGCACCCTGGGGCTACAAGGGTTGTGTTGTCTCTGAGAGCTCTGACTAGTCCCACCCTACCCTCTTGGGAAACCTCCAGTCACAGTCGGTTAGTGACATGAACCTGTGATCATGGAGCTCAGCCTGCGCTCTGGAAAGTGCCTTTACCTGCCATTAGGACTGGTAGAGTGGAAGACCCCCATGGAGAGGTGCCAAGGTCTAACGGCAGGGCTGGAGGAGAGATGCAGGAGACAAATGCGAAGGAGAGAGGGAAATGTAGGATTTGACATTGGGAATGATTATGATTTAGGACAGCCAAGTAGAATTCCACATGGCTGCTGTCATCCCCCCAGAACCTTAGTTGTTGACTCCATTTCATGAAAAACAACAACAGGAGCAGGAATTTGCCAAGAATTAAATGTATTGAAAAAGTTTGTTAGTGTTTAGTCATAGTCAATTTGGTTTAACCTGCTTGGCTAATGGCTAAGCTCCTGGCTAATGGACAAGGAGGCTAGGACCCCTCTAAAGAAACAAGTGAGTCCACAAACCACAAGTGCAGAACTAAAGAGGTTTAAGTGGGGCCAGCAGGGGACGCTCACCCTGCAGTCCATGTGGGTCCTAATGCCCCAGTATAGTGATGGGGACACTATACTATAAACAAGTGAGACATTGATCCGAGGTCCTGACTCTCTGTCATTAAAAATCCCAGGGCTTCTCTCGAAAAGAGTAGGGGTGTAACCCAGGTGTCCTGGCCAAATTTCCCATTGGCCCTTACCAGTCATGGCCTCCTAATTAATCCCCCTCTATGAATTGGCTTCATTACTCTGCTCTCCTCCCCAGTGATAGCTGATGTGTGGTGAGCGTTCTGGGGCACTATGACTGCCGTCACATCATCAAGGTGGGGCTGCACATCGGTGGTGGTGGAGGGGAGTCCCCATTACCTGTAAAGCACTTTGAGTGGAGTGTCCAGAAAAGCGCTGTATAATGTAAGCAATTATTATTAAAGGAAAACCATGAAGAATCTGACTAATGAAGAATTTAAGAAAACCATGAAGAATTCTGTGACTAATGGTTTGACCTGTTGAGCTCTTTCGGCAGTTAAAGAAAATGCTGTAAAAATGCTCCTATAAGGATATCGGTATTAGATTTTATGTAGGCGAGGCAGGCCTCTTATAATTACCTCTTTTCCACATATTGAACAGAGAATTTGTGTATTTCTCTGATACTAAGAACCAAAAGGGACATTTTGCTCTTGAGAAATTCTCTCTTTTCTGGGAAGTGAATTTATCACCTGGGAGGTGAAAACATGTTTTTTAAAAAGAGAGACAGTATTTGGAAGTTATTAAAAAGTGGTAATGATTAAATAATGATTCATTGTTTTCCTGGAAAAGTTTAGAGTACTGAGATAGTGCTATGGAGTGCGGATACCACAATTGACACAATTCTAATTCTAACTCTAACCTCAATCCTCAACTCTAGGCTATCACCCCTAAATCATAGGTGTGAGATAGAGGGTAATGTATTACTAGGGTTTGAATAATGGCTGTAGGAAAAGTTAAGAAAATGGTAAGAAAGGCTAATCATAGCTTTAACACTAAACAGTTTTAATGCACATCTCATATTTGATATAACCAGGCTAGAACTTAAATGTGAGAAAGTATGATTAGTCTCGCCTTTTTAGCAGTTTATTGTTTATTTTATTAAACCTTTAGTTTAAAAAGTTGAGTGATGCATTGTGGTGCATATACAGTACCATTAATGCATATTTCTTTTTTTTCTGATGCTTTATTTGTATTCGTATAAGATGACTTTCAAGAGTCATTAGAAAAATATATACCACATTAGAAAATTATGTCGTGCAAAGTAAGCCTGAGCTTAGAAATGTTCATTTATATTAAATGTTTCATGTAATTAATAACTCAGCAAGTTGTATTTGTGCACACTACAGAAGGTAGTAGAGTGCGATATGATGAAATATTAGAGTACATGGCATGATAGTACCCTGTTCAGTTTAGCTTATATGCTGAGATAGACATAAGGCAGAGCAAATTCAGCTAAGAATGCAACGACGCCCATGAAGAGCATGAGAAATTTTCTAGATGCATTGTGCTCCAACAATAGCCAGGTTATTGTCTTTCAATTAGATATGCCTTTCTGCGAAGCAATGCGTGTGCTTTTCACAAGGAGGCCCAAAGCATGCAGGGAAGTACAATGGGACTCACACAGCCTGAGAAGCAAAGTGTTGTCTGGCTTTCACTTTGGAATGAGATTGCATCATGGATGCGTTGGGGGTGTGTGGGGTTTTACAAATAGCAGGGGTGTTAACCTTTCCACGCAGTGCTAAGAAGATGGCTGTTGTGGTGAAAGGAGATTAATGTTGCCTAAATGAAAAATGTAACTATGCAGGCTGACCACCTGTCTGTGCAGGAGCAAGAAGATTCTGCTAGCATTCACAAGTGGATGTCGTGGAGACCGGTATTTTTCAGTTAGGCCCTACAACAGATGAGTGTCCTTTAACTGCCATTTGTCACCACTCTGTGAAACCTGAGCATAGTTTTTTCATTCATTCACTTCTTCTGTAAAAAAAATACAATGGATAAAATATTATTCTATATATTATATACATTATATAATATTATTTTATATATATATAATAAAAATATTATTTTAGAATATAGTTTATATTTCCTATGAGGTCTAATTGTGTTGTTGAGCAAAGTTTCTATTAATTAAATTATGATGAAAGAGCATTTAAGTGTTGCTTAGAGTTTGAAAGCACGTATAAGTAGAGTTTTGTCATTAATGACCTATTCTGAGACACCTACCTACACCTCTCTTTTAAATATCTTTTAATATTTTTTTAATATTTAATATCTTGTCTTGTAGTAGTCTTAAATTGATCCAGTTAATGATTAAGTGAGCCAGTCTATCCCTTCATTACCATTTTAACTAACTGCATCAAAATGTATATATTTAAGATGAACATCATCAATATCTAATCCCTGTGAGTTGCTCTGGATAAAAAAAATGTCCTCTAAATACCCATCCATCCATCTTCTAACTGCTTTATCCAAATCAGGGTGGCTAACCCTGTAAGCAACAGGCACAAGGCATGGTACACCCTGGGCAGGACGCCAGTCCATCGCGGGTCACTCACTGATCTTAGGGCCAGTTTTCCCAGAAGCCCTTTAACCTACCAGTATGTTTTTGGACAGTGTGAGGAAACCAGAATACCCGGCAAAAACCCTTGAACGTTTGAAAGCGTGCACTGATTACAATGCTAACCACTGCGCCACCATACTGCACGTGAAATCTATACAGCACTTCATCAAAATATAATTAATGTAATAATGTTGATAAGTTTGTGTTAGAAATATGAATCTAATATTAGTTGGCAAAAAGTGCACGTAGTGTGTCACCTTACAGCAGCTCAGGCTTAAATGTGCCAGAACGTAACTAATAGTAATAAAACTAATCTGTCGTGTTAAGAGAATTCAAGGTTTGCTCTGAAGTGTAATGGCAGTGTGTTTTCCTCCTGCTGTAGCTAGCGTGCTGCTGTGGGTCGGCAGCCTGCTCCCTGTGCTGCAGCATCTGCCCGAAGATCAAGCAGTCCACGGCAACCCGCTTCATGTACACCCTTTACTTCTTTCTGGTGACGGGCATCTGCATCATCATGATGTCGCCAACAGTGACCGATGCAATGAAGACTAAAGTAAGACCTTCAGAATTACCTCGTTCATCCCTATGTAGGTCATCACCAGGATCAAAAACAATCAGAAGGTACTGTTACGTACCTGTTATGTAAAAATCATGACTGTTGAATTAAACGTGTTTGTGCTGTTATGTTTTTTTTTTTATGCTGATGTTGGTCATTTTGTTTAAAGTGACATCCGTTTTCTAAGTGCTTTATTAAATCTCGGCAAACAGTAGGTGCCAGGCAGGGTACACCCTGGATGGGACGCCAATCCATTGTAGGCGCTCAGGCACTCGCACCAGGGCCAGTTTTCCCAGAAGCCAGTTAACCTGCCAGTATGTTTTTGGATTGTGGGAGGAACCAGAGCACTTGATAAAACTCCTGTGTATACAGGGAGAACATGCAAACTCCACACAGATAGCACCCCAGGCCTGTAATTGACGCCAGGGCCCTAGTGCTGCAAGGCAGCAATGCTAACCACTGCACCACCATACTGCCCTGTTAGTAGCACTGGCTGTCTAAATGAAAAAAACCTGTTAAATTATATGTTTAGATTTTAATGACATGTTACTGAGTTGGACTGGCAGAATTTTGCTATGATTTAAAACGTAATAATGTTAAGTTTCTTAGTGCTAAGTCTGTCCGCCCCAGTACCATGCTTTCAGATTACAGTGAGTGGTTTAAATTACTTCATGCTTTAAGGTCAGTGTGGGCTAAAACAGCAAACATGGCAAGTCTTGTGACACTGGAAAGTGTAACATATTGTTAATTCTGTATTTGTTTCATAACAGAAAGCAGTTTCACATTAGTTGTCTTTAAGAACTGTGCATAGAATTGTATCAGAGGGAGCTAACATGTACTGTATATTTGCCTGAAACATCCAGATAAAATGAAAAACACATGTTATATAGCAACATATATCCCATAAATGATAATGTGGTAAATCTGTTTAATGTGCATGATCGTGTAGAAAAGGCTATGCCCTGACACAGTTTGACTGAATTATTAACAGACCACATGGAGATTATTCACAGACCAAACGGTCTGCAGTACATAGGCTACAACCACTGTTTGAAAGAAATTAAAACAGACAGGGAAGCTCTAAACACAAAATACATTGTTCAGACTTTTATTGGCATTTTGCCACAGACATAAATACTAGACAAAAGTTTTCAAACAGTTTTGTTTGTATTCTTGTTTTTTTGTATTGTACCTATTTTAACCACCTGTTAAAATTAAAAATGTACCTATTTTTTGTCCACGGAATTTAAAATCCAAATTGACATTTGCATTACAAATCTAAATAGGGCCGTATGGAAAGTTTGTAAATATAGTAGAAGAATTCAGGAATGAAGCTGAGAGCTGTTTATCTTATCTATAGGTTGAGAATAACCTTGTTATCTGAAATCCTTCAGATCCCGTCAGTAATTAGCAAGGATCTCTGTGAACTTCTATGGGCTATAGGAGGCCACATGTATCAACAGTTAATTTGATCCCCATTTTTTAGACCTACTTTAGTTTTCATTACAAATGTACTGTTGAAGTTATCAGTGCTGCCTCTGAGCACTGGGGTCCTAGGTTCAATTCCTTGGGTGTTATATCGAGGTGTTTATATGTTCTCCCCTTGACTGCGTGGGTTTCCTCCAGGGGCTCCAGTTTCCTCCCACAGTCCAGAGACATACTGCTGCACTAATCAGCTTCTGGGGAAATTGGCCCTGGTGTGAGTGTGCGCTTGTTTGTGCCTGTATGTGGCCTGTGATGGACTAGCATCCTGTCCAGGGTGTATCCTGCCTGCCTCCTCTTGCTTGCTGGAAGAGGTGTTAGTGGGGCCAGCAGGGGGCGCTTACCCTGCGGTCTGTGTGGGTCCTAATACCTCAGTATAATGACCGGGACACTACACTGTAAACGGGCGCCGTCCTTCGGATGAGACGTTAAAACCGAGGCCTTGACTCTCTTTGGTCATTAAAAATCCCAAGGCATTTCTCGAAAAGAGTAGTGGTGTAACCCCGGCGTCCTGGCCAAATATCCCATTGGCCCTTATCAATCATGGCATCCTAATAATCCCCATCTATGAATTGGCTTCATTACTCTGCTCTCCTCCCCACTGATAGCTGGTGTGTGGTGAGCGTTCTGGCGCACTATGGCTGCCGTCGCATCATCCGGATGGGTGCTGCACATTGGTGGTGGTGGAGGGGAGTCCCCATTACCTGTAAAGCACTTTGAATGGAGTGTCTAGAAAAGCGCTGTATAAGTGTAAGCAATTATTATTACTGTGATAGGCTCCAGCTCCCTGTGATCCTGCATTGGTAAAAGAGGTTGTAAAATACATTATACAGCACTTTTCTGGACATTTCAGTCAAAGCACTTTACAGCTAATGGGGACTCCCCTCCACCACCACCACCAACGTGCCTGGATAATTACTCTCCCTTTTCAAAATATAATTTAATTTAGTTTTAAAACATTATGCTTCACCCCTTTTTAAAAAATTAATCTTAAAATGCTTTTGGAGAAACAAAAACAACTCAGACAGGTCATGGTCCTAGTAGAAAGATGTACTTTCCAATGTATGATGTATGAGGGTGTATTTGTGTTATTTGTAATAGATCTAGTAGTGAGCCAGTACCTTTACACAATAACTGTTTTAAAGCATTTTATAAAGAAAAAGAATAACTGCAACCAATTTCAGACAGACACTTGCAGGCCTCAATGCACCTTTTAATTTGCATCTTAACTAGAATGATGTTCTGCCTTGACTTTTTTTGCCACTTAGAATTTCAGCTCTCTTTCCAGACATTGTAAGACTCCAGTAGATAAAAAACAGCATAAATAAGGCACAAGCCAAGTGTCCAAGTAAGCATAAAACACTCAGAAACTTTACTCTCTATATACTCTCTTTTTATAGCCAACTGCTTAACAATGAAATGACAGGCATGATGGGTTTTTTTTCCCCAGATGTTTTAACCAGTTTATGGATTGACTTTTAGTGTTTTGTTTCCTTTTCTTAGTTTTCTTAAAAAAGCACGGCACCCAAAATGCTCTAAAAGATTAACCCGTGTTGTAAAGTAATCTACAGTGATTTAAGATCTATTGTGTAATAGTACATTCTTAGGACCAAAGGATTTGGCCACCTCTTCCCAACTGAGAGCTTGAGCTTCACGGGGGCCTGAAGGTTTGGCTTTATCTTATGCTGTCCTATAGTCCTGCCTGCTTCACAGACGTGCTGGTGATTTACATTGACAGCTTTAACATGTGGAAATCTCAAAACCATTGAGTTGCAGTAAGAATAGTTTCCCGTTATTCTAATGAAATCAGCTTGGTAAATTGCCCTGTGAATGCATTCAGCTGTTCTATAGCTTCTATAGTATCGCTTCTTTCTGTGATTGATTCTCCTTCAAAGTCTCATGTTCAAGAACTAATAAGGTCCAGCTCTGCTTCATTTCTGAATTCTGGTGAAGTTTTGCAGTGTATTCCAACATCTTTTTTCAAAAACCTACAGGCCTGACTTTTGAAACCATGGTTGTCTGGCAATGACAGAACCGAGCTATTACCTTGAGCCGTCTTGTTTCGCCATTTCTGCGGTGTAATCCATGGTTGTAGGGGTTTTACTGTCGAAAGACTGGTTACGCTGAAATCTGTTAACTGTAGACATTTTGCTTTCTAAGTGGCACTGTGGGTGTATGTTGCTAGGTATAAAAAATCCTCATTTAATGGATATAAAGTGAGTTGGCCTTCAGAAATGACTGTCAAGAAAACTGTTTCCGTGAACAGTGACTGCACACATCAGATGACTCAATGTGTTCAATGTGACAAGAACAGTGTCCAAGAAACTTAAACTTAGATAGATGAAGTGACATGGCATTCAACTGCATGGAAACTTTCCATGGCAGACATATTCTTGGTGGTTCTCTGTGTGTGTACTGAATCTTTACAATTCATTGGTTTGTATAAGTCACCTGTCTTTCTAATTCAGAAGCAAATAAAGTTCCAAGGAAAGGCTAGCTTTATGTCCTCACTAGGAATGCCCTGTCACTGTTAAATATTTAAGTTCAAAGAGGGCTGACTTAATGTTTTTGGCCTGAAATAACAATTAGTACCACTCTTTTGATTATCTGGGCCTTGGACCTTCAGCTATGTTTACTGGCTCAAGTGCAGAGAACAGCTGTGTAAACACTTGAGACAATGCCCCATTGTTGTGAACTGTTGGAATAAGGTAATTCTTCTGGGAGGGGCAAACTTAGCTAACTCCTGAACTTTAAAAATATAAGAAAAATAATTTTGTCATACATTTCTCTTTATTTTGGTGATTTGTTGTTATTCCTGATTGTGGATTAAATGTTGGCTTCTGTTCTTGTAGTTTTGTAGTTAACATTTTTTCTCACATGTTACCTTTCGATGTTTTGGATCCAAAATTATCCTCTTTGGTGTGTTTGTGGTCTCCTGTGCTACTATTGTGGGTCACATTAAAGACCCCGATTCACTTCTGGTTCAAACCTGTCTATCAGAGGAGACTGAAGCTATAATTTAACTTGGTATTCATGGTTTAGCAGTCAGTCTTTGTTTGTATGTGATTGTAAATATAACCTTACTGTACTTTGTCTGTGTGCTGGTTTTTCTTAAACATTTGATTCAAAACTTTTAGTAACAGTTTCCTGTTCAGCAACATGTTTGGTCTGTTTTCTGTTTTTAGTTTGCTTTCTTTTATAAATATTTTTTCCCAGTATTTTAATAATTAGACACTTGTTTTGCACCATATTTTAGTTTCCTGTGCAAAAGTTGTCACTTTAGGACTTCTGTGACCAATTCTTCACTTACAGCAAACTGTCAGATTCAACTTCCTTGCTGGTGCTTGCTTTATTAGTTGTAGAGTGAAGACATAAACAAAGAAAGTTATTTAAATTTAGTTTTTGCATACTTTTAAACCACACAACCAAATTTGAATACTATTCTAAAAGTGTATAGCAGGATTTAATATCCTCTTGTTAGCAAGTTAGATTACAGAAACTGTATAATGCATTATGAGTACTTTAGAATTTGAAAAGATGGGATAGATTGTTCTTCGTTATCTTTTACTTCTGAGCAGTTTTGTGAATTTATCTTCCAGGCATCTTCTGTGTTATTGTTGTTTTTTTCTTCATTTTTTGTGAAACCAAAACCACATTTTGTTTAATAGAAGACTGGAAAACCTTTGATTATGTTCTCTTGAGGTTGTAGGATGAGAGGCTGAAGTTCGGATGATCTGTATTTCAGTTGAAAAAACTGCCATCGATTCGCATTTCATTTGTAAATGAGATGGAAATTCCAGTCTGCAGCTTACGCTTTCACAATGCAGAACTTGAATTTCATGGCCACACAAGTTGTTTTTTTATTTTGACTCACTAAACCATTCTTTCCAGTTAATGGAAGACCAGCTCCTTCAAATTAACCTAATGATTTATTCATTCCTCTTTTTTGGCAGTGCTGAAAAAGAATTAGGAGACTCGGCATACCTTCTCTGTTGAAGGAGTGTTTGGGCGGTGCTTAATGTTCTTTTTCAGCTCAATCTGGGCTGAAAATATTTCTTGTGGATACAATTAGGTCTTTCCATCTGATGGCTTGTACGTTTTACAGGAAAACAGCAAGGTTTAAGAATGGAAATTGCCGCCTTGTTTTTGCCTTTTTGGCTCTCAATTGCAGCTTTTGTAGTATCAGTGACCCCGCTCACTGGCAAATTAGCATGTTTGCTTTTTAAAGCTGCATAGGGTTTACACTGATTATGAAACACAAATCACATCTTTTATACTCATCTTTTATACCCTCACTGGCCACAATATTAAGAAGTAAACTGAATAGTGTGTTGTTCCTCTGAGAGCAAAAAGAAAATATTTAATAGGACATTGTGTGTTCCAAAATATCCTGAAATATTTGCAGTCTAATTTATCTTCATTGAGTTGAAATTGAGTCAAAGCTGTTATGGGAGAAATGGTTTGTGGATTTGAACTGAAAACCTCACCGTGTTCATTAGTATTTAGAAAGGTTGAAAATGAAGTGTTTCATGCTCCTCCAGTTAAATTTACATTGCCAGAAACTGACAGAGTCTGCTACTAATTTTACTAGAAGGTCCTTACACAACGTCCATATTGGTCTGTTAAAGCTTTGTGAGGACTTTTTAAACCCACAATCTGTATCAGTAATGCAGATAATATGTTGTAGTATGCAAATACTGATCATGTAGTATTAGCACATTAAATGTGACAGAATTCGCAGGGTGCTGAGCAACTAATAAAAAACAGTTTGACAACAGAGCTGCTGGTGATGTGGTAACAGCTTGTGGATTTCAAATTAATACAAAACAAAAGGCAGAGAAGGCAATTTTTCCCACTTGTAAAATAAAAATATTATGAGACCTCTTCAAAAGAGAAAAATCACATTACAATAAATGCTGAGATTGTCATAACTGACTATCTAATTTAAACATGATTAAACAAATATGGGTGACATGATTATAAATATTAAGGTACTGTATTATATGCTGTTTGTTGTAAACAGAATTTTTGCCTTTTTTATTGCATATTCCAGTAAGAAAATAAAATGTGTGAAAAATATTTATTAGCACATTACAGTAATGCTGTGGTACACCCTGATCAGAATTGTTTCATAAAACAAAAGTAGAATTTTTAAATTACAGTATTGCACAACTCTGCTGTAAATTGGAAAGGTGTTTTTTTAGAATTTAGGCTCAAGTTTGAGTACATGGTATTTTTCTTGCTGGTAAAAACCATTGCCAGTCAACCATATTTTTTATTCAGAAAATGCACAATTAAATGCTAAGTTTTAAGAATAACCCCTTTATTTGTTAGTGGTTCATGTGTTGTGTAAAAACAATGTACATTCAGAGGCAAATGACAGAATGTTGACTACTTTCAAAATCTGGTTTGGTAATGAGGACACCACAACAGCACCTTTGGTTTCACATAACAAAACCAAAACCTTAAATACTGAAGCAACAGTGGATGATTTTTAAACTGTTTTTGACAGAGCATTATTGACAAACAAATACTTTTTAAAATCCAAATCTCTGGAGTCTGAATCCCTCAGAACCCTGTGCATTGAGACAGTGGGATTACAGGCCTCTGAGGTAATTTACACGTTTTTGCAGGTTTCCAGGAGTTTTGTGTTGTACAGGATGTAATGTCACATGATAGTATGTATTTCAATGCATATACCCTGTTTTTATTTGTTTTATAGATCCCTTACTATTCTGAGCTGTGCTCACACATCCAAGCAGGGGAGAACTGTGAGATGCTGGTAGGCTACTCAGCTGTGTACAAGGTTTGCTTTGGGATGGCCTGCTTCTTCTTCTTCCTCTTTGTTTTCACCCTCAAAGTTAACAACAACAGAGGATGTCGAGCATACATTCATAATGGGTATGTAAACACAGCCATTGAAAATGCCATTAAAAAACTGCACCATGTAGATGCTTAAATTTATCCGTTTCTTTTGCCACTGGATTACACAAATGTATGTATGTGACTCCCAGGACACTAAAAACAGCCAATTTTGGTCGCCTTTAATGGTCTAAAATTATCCAAATAAATAAAATATGAAGTGAAGGCTTCAAAAATGGCTACCAAAGGAACCACCTCAGTTTGCTTTAATGATGTTTTTTTTTCTTGCAAGAAAGAAGGTATATAATTTAAAAAAAGGATCTTCACAATAAGGGGTTAGGCATTCTGATACCCATGAACGTGCACAGAAATCTTTCCACCTTTCATTGTTCAGTGTGAGGGAGAGGATACTGTCCTGTGACTAGTGCAAAAATAGAGGGACGAGATCCACTCTTCTAATGGGCAAATAACAAGGTGGAGTGTCCAGTTATCATGCTCATTGGAACTAGACAATGATCCTGGATCCATAATAGTTTTCAGCAAATTAATTAAAAAGTTGCACAGTATTTAATAATGCAGTTTTAGAAATAGAATTGGATAGTATTGCACTAAAGACAGGGGGTGTAGCTATCTGATTTTTGTTTAGGTGTCCTTTGGTTGGAATGAGTGGGAAGATGGATGTAATTGTATTAAAGGGTTTTGTTAAAAAAATCTCCCAGTCATCCACTACCTGAAAGCTCAGTAAGTCATATTTGGTCAAATAAACTTTGCAGGTCATATGAAAACTGTTAAGCAGCATTTAGTGTTATTACTCCACTTAAAAAAAAGTAACCTGGGAAATAATGAAGTTCCTATATAATTGTATTAGTTCACTAGGGTCGGTATAGATGGTGTTAATGGGTCCCGATAGAATGAATGGTGTTGTATCAGTAACGTCTGTTTTTTCTAAATTGTTTTACGCAGATTCTGGTTCTTTAAATTTCTGGCTTTACTTGGCTGCTGCACAGGTGCATTCTTCATTCCTGACCAAGATACATTCCTTCAAGGTACTGTTTTTTTCTTCTGATCTTTTCATATTGCTTCATAGTACTGCACAAGGTTCATTATTAAAAAGCTTATATTTATTTCCTTTTTTTCTAGAATTATCATTACTTTTTATTAGCATTTTTGAATTGATAGTGACAAGAGACAATTCTCTCATTCTCCTTTTTTTTCTACTTTTTCACTGTTGCAGTATTGGAAATGTCAGACAGTACCCATTTTTAAGGACTGAGATTCATTTAACAAGTTCTTCTTTGTAAACCATTGCACAAGACACTACGTCTGCACTCAATTTCCTCTTCTTTCAACCCTTTAAAGAGGTTTGTGCTGAGGTTGGTGCTGCTGAGCTTCAGCAGGATGTTTAAATGTTTACCCAAACAAAACTGCAACTACAAATCGCTTGTGTCACCCCAGCGTTGTTCTAGACAAACTTTGAGAATGTTTTGCTTATTGTCTTTGCTATGAAGTCTCCAGGATTGGCCCTGGATGGATATTCAAAGCTAAAGAATTCAAGTATGTTTGAATTTGTGGGAATATGAGTTGTACTGTAGGATTCTGAGGTAAATATTTGAGGCTTTAACTCAATTGTTTCCTTATGCTTTTTCCTTGTGCTGTATTTGTAGTAGTGTGGTTAAATTCTGATCAATTTATTTATACTCTATCTTTTTTATATACAGTTTTATGTATATCTCTTTTCCTGAAATCAGTTTTAGTGCAAAGCTAAGGAATATCATAATCTGTTTTTTATTACATTTTTTTTTTAGTTTTGTTCACCTTTTTGTGAGTCTTATTTCCTGTCCAAAATAGATTGTATATGAACAGTTAAAGGTGTACACACTACAGCAAATCACCGGTTTCCTAGCACTTTTTCTTCTGCTATATTGACTAGCATTACATTGATTAAAATACAGATGACATATTTCAAGTGCTTGTTTACTAATTAAATCTTTTGTGATACAGCCCTCCAAACCTTGATAAACTAGGTTTTTTATAGTTGTAGAAAAAGAAAAAAAACGTAGTAAAAAGGTTTTTACCTTCTACCTCTACTTATGAGGTAGTAGTTGTTCATCTTTTAAAATGAGAGTAGTAATTAAAGAGCTAAAGTTTCCTTAATTTAATATTGTAGCACCTTTTTTGCACGTAATCCAACAAAGTGCCGGTCAGGTTTCTACTTCCAGACATGATCGAAGCTACATGTGAAATATAGCTACCATTGAGGGTTCCCAAAATATTATTAAAGTAATTTTAAATCTGTTTCTGTCTGTTTCCATTTTACTATTTTACCGGTAATGTACATTTAACAATGTAATTTATATTTTTAGAAAATATAAAGGGATCCATATATTTCACTACTTAAAAAGTGAGCCAATTTAAATTTAAGTGAGTATAAATCCATTATGAGGCTGTGTACTTATTTAGTAATTTAGAAGCTCTACAGTCATTTCTTTCTATAGTGATTTTACATTAGCACATGATCATGAGTTTAGTTTTGTGTTGCAGTACATCCCATATTGTAACATAAGTATATGTGGGTCATATTATTTGCAGCAAAATGTTTTTCACTTTACTGTACACTGAGTAGCCTACCCAATTACATTATGATGCTGGCCCAAACATCAAATCCTAAGAATAGAAGGCACGGAATTGCTTAAACGTGACTTCAGATTCTGGGATTTAGATAAGATTAGTTTGCACAGATACAGAATAACAGTAAGAAATGTTTTATACAGTTTTTTTCCCCTGTGTCAAGCTTGCAGTAGTTTGTAGGATTTCTTGATTTGTTTATCCAGTCAACCTCTCTGTATTCCATTTTTTTAATCAAAAAGATTGGGTAAAACAAAAATTGAGTTATGAATTCTTACTAAAACAGTCATACTGGATTGTGTTATAGCATTTAGTGCATTTTTTAGAGCTCTTATTATATATTTATTAAAATATAAATATATTTCATATATATTACATATATTATACTTAATACAAAATATATATTTGGAGTCTTTATTATCCCTAAGAGGCAATTTGTTTTGCAGCAGACAGTAAAGAAAAACACACAAACAAACAATACACATACACATGGATAAGAGAATCATATGTTGAACAGGGTTGTGGCCTAGGTATAAATGAGAACTTGGACCTGTTTGTTTTTAGATTGGGAAACTGCTGAGGGAAGTAATCGGAATATATTTATCTGCTATTTCCACTGATTTTGCCTTGAATCTGATGTAAGTTTGGGGTCTGGGGATTCTCCCTGAAGTCATATGCCATAAATTTGGTCTGAGACATTCAACTTCATATAGTTTTGTGGCAAACCTATCTACAACTGGCCCATGGCCCCACTTGCAACAAAATAACAATAACAGAGTCTGCAGCCAAGTCTATATACTAACAATAATCGTCTGTAAATTTAATGATGCATCTTAAGGGATACCTCTTTCAATCTTACAATCATTTGTCTACAGAACAGAGTAAAAGTAAGGGAAATGCCATCATTACTGTCATACAGCCTGATCTTATCCGATCTCAGAAAAATAGTAATGTAAATCATCCCGGTATTGGGATGAGAGACTGCTCTGTTAAGAATGAAGAATTAATGCTATACATTAACCAGTAGTTGGAACTCTTCTCCCTAGACTAGAGAGAATACAGGTGTAAGCAATTATTCTGATTAATATGTTAAGTGCTTGAAAGGGGGGCACTTTATAGAAGACTAATAAATTGGAAAATTGTGATAGCAGTCAGTTTAGGAAAAAAAAATCTGAATTTAAGAATTGTTAATCTTCCCCTTTTGTGCCTTTGGAATACGATCTTGTTTTTTCAACCTAGCATTTAAGGGCAGATCCATGCTACCCCAGGGGAGATGCAGGGAAACCTCCCACATTCTCTCCAAGACACATGTGTCTCCAAAACATCCTCTTTTTTTAACGCCACAATCCTGGACTGGTTAAAGCAAAGCATTATGAAGGAAAAAATGTAAATAGTTCTTATTTATAACATCCATGGACATTTGTGTAGTGATGGGGGCTGATGATATGCCAAAGGCCCTCCAGAAGATACACTATGAACCCCTGCCAGATTTCAGCAGTCTTATCCCATTATGTGTCTACTCCCAGTCACAGTCAGTGAAGACCTTAGGCCTGAATTCAAGTGAATGAGAATCAGAGTCATCCAGCAGTTGTTTTTGTTTTTGATCGGATGCAAGAGCCCCATGAGAGTTCCCTATTCATTTAGATTTTAACCATTTCTTGGAGGCTGTGTCTGTGTCTCAGGCCTTGGTCAGTGCTCAGCTCAGCGTTTGTGAATCCTGCTACAAAGTAGAACAATTTCTTTTCAGATGTGAATAGTGCCAGTTGTGGGTCGGTCTACTACTGGCTCATTTGAAAAAAGTAGTGATTAAGCATTTCTGTATTTTTCCAGATTTGCTCTTTACGTAACTGAAAGCGATGGTAAATGGTTAACCTGTTCAAATGGAAAAGCTCATACTGTACATTATAGCAACTCATACAAGCTCATACAGATTCAAAATAGTTTTAATTTGTGTTGTTATTTTCAATTTGACTGTTATGTGAGAGTGAATTCGCTTTTGGTAAAAGTGAGTTCAGACTTGTATCATCAGAGATAGGCCATAAAATAATTTTAAAAAGCTTTGTTGCTTCTGAAATGAGGATGATTTCAGATCACTTACTGTACATTTTGTGCCAAACTTTCTGACAGAGATTAGCTAATTGCTATTTGTGAAGCGTATTGTGAAACCTTTTTCTTTTAACTATGTGTTTAGGTGGTTCCTCATACCTCTGTGTTCTAGTGTGCATTTTGTGATCTTGACAGAAATGAGGAAATTCTTAACTGACTATACCTTGAATGATGATGATCCTAAGCTGGTTTAATTGCAAGGAAATACTTGGAGAACAGTTATTGAGCTTCTAGTTTTGTGATTTTAATTCAAGGAAATCATGCTGTTTTATTGGAAGATGCCTAATAATCCTAATACTGTTTCTTGCTCACATCTGGCATGCTGAAATTTTACACCATTCACTTAATGAAATCTGTTCTTCTTACTGTTACAAAGCTTTATATTAAATCAGGTATTGAGTGATTTAGTATATGAGCAGCACAGATTCAGATATGCAGTTAACCCATTTGTCAGAGGAAATATTCTCAGTATATGGAATGATTCGAAGAGTTTCTACGGTAACGACAGGCTGGAGGGAAAAGTTTGTTACCAATAATGCCCATGGCACAGTGGGGTTGGCCTTCAATCTCCCGAATAAGTTACTGAAGTTAATAACTAAAGTTTTTATTCAAGAGAGTGAGTTACAGGGGGTTTATCTTAAACTTTTCAAAATTTCAGTTAGCTTTGTGTTTAATCCTGTTCAACACACTAAGTGTTTGAATGCCAGAGTTATTAGCCTCTATTTCATGTAATAGTTTTCTCATTGTTTTTGTTTGCAACAGTAGTCACACATAAAGCTACTTGGCTGTCTCTCACACCCTTTCCAGTGTACTGTTTTAAACGTTATATAGCTGTGTAAAATCATGTTCTTCCTTGTTTTTTTTTGTTAATGAAGCTATGATTTAAATGAAGAGCAACCAAACATAGCTTTCTTATTGTTCAATGATGTTTTCTAAGGATGCATTTACTAAGGTTTACCCTCAAAAGTTTTAGATTTCTTTAATCAATGTCACTCCAGTGGATAGGAAGACTGTCTAATTGTCTTTACGCCTTTCATGCCCTACAAATCAGACCAGTTTTATATGGAATTTTCTGTTGTAGTGATGCTGATTATTAACTACACCACTTGACAAATTGGAAAGTCAGTTGTGTGTCATAAGTTTCTATATATTATAAATAGTTGAAAGACACTGTAAATATTAATGAGTATAAACTTAATTGTCTTCCAAGGTCTACATTATTCATATTAATGTTTTTGTGCTTTGATTACAGTTTGGCGCTATGTAGGGGCAGCAGGAGGATTTATATTCTTGGTAATCCAGCTTTTCCTCCTGGTGGAGTTTGCCCACAAATGGAACAAAAACTGGTAAGATTTGGCATTTCTCATTGAATAATAATGGCGTCTGCAGACATGTTTGTTTCTTTTCCTGCTTCTGTGTTCTGAAGGACCTTTGTTTCTCCTTCAGGTTGTGTAGAATTATATGCAATGTTGATATAAAAAATGAGCTCCATTGGAGCAGGAAGTTATGGAAAGGTCAAACATTTGAGCCTAAATTTAATTTTATGAATGCCTGGTGCTAATCTGAAACTAACTTTTGTTTGGGTTATTAAACATGTATTAAATAATAGATGTTCCAAATGGTGTATACCAAAACTAAAATTGACTTTTGAATTTTTATTTTCCTTACTATGTATGATGATGGAATCATTGCAAAAAACAGAGAAGAACACACTCATGTGGAACCTGTATCACATCTCTGTTGTACTTGATTTATTGACACTATTAGCTGCTGCAACAATCAAGACTGACACAACATTTTACAGAGACACAAATTCCTGTCTTGTAAACATTGAAAAAGTCCATTGTAAATATTTTAAGTGTCATTTTGTAATCTCACCTGTAATATCCAGGTCAGGAGTGTTTGTGAATTTTGCCAGTCAGTTGAGTTTTCAGTGTTACCACCCTCCGTTTGCTTCTGTTTTTAATAGGTTTTAATAACAAGTGAGTGTAATTAATGCACTTTGAAACCTTGTGGAGAAGGACTTGGAGAAAAATCTATTTTGAAAATTGAAGGCTTGGATGATCATAAAAACAATCGCTTGTAATGGTTTTACTGTGCTTGATATGTGCTTGGTAAGACTCTTGATATGTTTTCCATAATGAAATCCAGAAATCCAGAAGAATTTAAACTTCTGGAAGGGTGTGAAACAAAAACAAAATAAAAAAAAGATTACATGGAGAGCTGAGATTAAGTGAAAACCAAAATGAAAAATGAAACAAACGATCTGTTAATTAAATGCTTATACCTAAATACTAGGAGTATTAGAAACAAATTTGATTAGATAAAAGCTACCATTAGCAGGCAATTTTGATTATCCTGGAATCACAGAACCATGGTTAAGCAAAAATGATGAAGGTGAATGTAACATTAGTGAATACATGCACTGTCTTGGAGAGATAGGAAAGATAGAGGAGTGGGGGTGTAGAACAGTATATCAAAAGGAGCTAGCAGGCCCAGGAACTAAAACTAGAGGAATCAAGAATCTCTTAATTTATGTGGGTCAGTAAAAAATGATTCCAAATGTATAATGTTATACCTATTCTGTAGACTGCCAAATGCTAATGTTGATTATAATTTAACACTGCATAATGAAATCAAGAATTTCCCTGCAAAATAAGTAGTATTTTTATTAGGAGACTTCAACTTTCCCCGCATGGACTTGGAAAGATCTGTAGGAACATCAGCAGCAAAAAAGAAAATGGTTGACATGCAACAGATTAATTTAGGAAAATAAATACTTGATAAAATGATGGTAATATAATGGGATCCAATTAATGTGAAGCATAGTATGAATCGCAAACATAGGTAAAAGTTAGAAAGGCCAGGGGAGAAATTGAAAGGAATGTTGCAGTGCAGGCTAAAATAAAATATAAAATGTTCTTTTAGCACCATAACAGCCAAAGAACTATCAAGGATGGAATATAATATATCTGGGAAGATAACAGGAAACATTCACTTGGGAGGACATCAACAGCATGCCTCAGACAGTGGAACGAGACAGTTCTGTATTATTATGGTAAATGTCTGTTTATGTCGATACATCACTTAAATCTTCAACACAATGTGGTGAATCAATAAAAAGGAAATATGTTTGAATACATTGTTAAAGTTGTAGAATGTAATGCAGTAGATCTGCGAGTTTTAAGAAGAGCAGAGCAGTGCTGCAGCAGGCCAGGAACTCAGGGAAGCAGTGCGGTTCAAGTTTGTGGTTGAGCAGGCATGGGTGTCAAAGCCAGTGAATCCAAAGAACCAGGTCCGAAGCAGAAATTGAAAGTTTGGGAAATGGTCAAAACAAGCCAGGGTCCAAACCTAGATAAATACTAAGCCAGAGTGTGATCCGGGAATGAGATAGTAATGCAGAGGTCAGAATTGCAACAAAGCACGGGAGGAAATCAAAGCAAGGAACTCAGGGAATACAAACGTCTCGAGGCTTAGAGTTGGAACTCCCTTAGAGAGCAGCCTTTAAATATCCCTGAATCACCTGAAGCGGGCAAGGTTGTAAAATCTCCAGGTTATTCGGGTCTTCTGTGAACCTGGTGTCCATGGCAACTGGTGCTGAGTGACAGGTGGGAGGAGCAGTGACTGGCTGCCATGTTAATGCTAGCTCACCCTGCAGGGTGCCAGGGGAGAGCATGACACAGGGATCTAGAACTAGTGAGGTCTCATTTAAAATATTGTGTACGATTTTGGTCACCACCTTATACAAAGGTATTGCTGCTCTGGAATTAGGCAAAAGAAGTGCAACCAGATACATTCTGTTTTAGTCTTAAACCGAGAAGACAAATGTCAAATACCTACAAGTTGAAACCAGCAGCTTCTTCAGGATGAACAGTGAAACTGAGGGCAGAAGGCCCTTGTTTAGGGTAGTTGGAGTATAGAACAACCCAGCAATGTT